TTGCTGAGCTCAGCATCGCGCTTCTCCATGAATGATTTTTGTTCCTGGGTTAAGGTTGTGCAAACTTTCATAACGGCCGCCAGAATACGTGGCTGAGAGGCATAGTCGTGACAGTTTCAAAATGATCTGTACAAAAGAATTTCTACGTGCTCCACTTGTACATTTTGCGGCAAGTAATTTGAGTAAGTGCTTTATAAAGCATTCTCTTGGTGAAGAATCAGTTCTACGCTTATGTTATCCATTTTTATGCAAAGTGATTTTTGTACTTTTCATTAAAGCTGCTCTGGGAAATCACTAAGGCCCGTATGCAAGTACATCCCCGCGGGGAGGGGATGTGAGTTTAACCATTGCAATGATCCCCGCTGGGGCTCCCCTCCCTTCCCCACGCGAATCCCCGTATGCAGAAAGGCAATACCGGAGAGGGGATCCCCTGGGAGTAGGGGAGGGGAGCCCCCTTATGCAGAAGGGGAGATCGAGCGAGGAATTCATTTTGCTTCCGCTCTTTTGCAGTAAATATTCCTTTTTTCTTATCTTTTGATAGCTACTCGCCTTCAGTGTGTCTCGGCGATATTTAGTCGTTGCGGAATGCCGTCTGCCGTGATTGCGATCGGCACACTAAAGAAATATTTCCTACATCCATTATATTCCAGCTGTTTTCATGGATGCTGCTCATTTTCGCCCATGCTGCCCATTTCAGCTTAAAGGTGTTCAATGATAGAATTCAAGCTGTATGTATGTGCGGTGAATGGGTAGAAGACGTTATGCTGCCGAAAAAAAGGGGGGGGTGCCGCGGACATTCAAACCAGCATTTCTACACATGAAGCTGCAAATCGTGCCAGCTTTCCATAAACGCTGTAGCTATCAGCTGCATATCGTCCTTTACCCCAGGGGAATGATCCCCAGCGGCCATCCCTGCTATGCACGAGGGGAGCGATAGGGAGGGGATCATTCCCCCGAGGATCTTTACTCAGAAAAACGCGAGTCTGCTAATTTTCATTTTATTCAAAGCAGTTTTACGTTAGGATAACAAGATAAGAACAATTTATCATTTGATGTGATAGTTACAATATGTTGTACCAGCTTTAATGGATAAAACTATCATGTCAAGTAAAAAATGCGCAACTCTCGTGAATGGTCACAACCTTCTACAGATATTCGAAACTGGCAGATATATGCCCGGATTTTTTTACAAGAAGCGAATATGGAAGAGAGAGTTAAAACTGCAAGCTACAGGTCGCTGAGAGAGGAACCCAGCTCTCGTAGAAAATCTGTCATCAATTTGAACGAAATGCTTTGTAATAATTGATTGAAATCAGAATATTCGCTTCTCTGGCTTGATCTACACCATCGAACCCCTACTCCGTTGTAGGGGATGTCGATCCCCTCCCCCGCGTTGTTGAGTTAAATTCGCGCATACGGGGTTCGAGTGGGGGAGGAGAAGGGATCCCCTCCCCCATTCGAACCCCGTATGCACTGGGGTTCGCTCGATCAATACCTTTGAAACCATTCGCACCATCCCCGCTTAGGTGCAGGGGAGGGGATCGTTCCCCCCGGGGATCCAGCTCCCCTCCCCTCCCCAGCGGGGACGTACGTGCATATGGGCCTAAGAACATGAAACTCAGATGCTGGAAATCCGCTGATAAAGTTCGTCAGTGATTGTTGGGTAAACAAGAACTGCATTTGAAACTTCAATGTTTAAAGGCAGCGTCCCACCAGACTGGGGGTATCTGGCTCTCGTAATGATGGGATAGTAGACCCCCTACCTAAGCCATGACTGAAGTTCGGAGCGAAAAAGGGGGTCTACCAAGCCTGAAATTTGCTCCGAAAGTGGGCCGAATTATACGGTAGGGCCGAACGCCGCTCACACGGCAATATCGATTTGCAGGGCCAGAGTGCGTATAGCGCACACATCATGAGTGTTGGGACCCGCAGCAACTCTGCGTCTCTACCCTGCGTGCACCTCGCACTCGCCCGATCCTACCGTAAGATTTGGCCCACTTTCGGAGCAAATTTCAGGCTTGGTAGACCCCCTTTTTCGCTCCGAACTTCAGTCATCGCTTAGGTAGGGGGTCTACTATTACACCATTACGAGAGCCAGGTACCCCCAGTCTGGTGGGACGCTGCCTTTAAGCGATTAAAAGCTCATCAAATAATATAAAGTACCCAATAGGTTGGCGGATCATTTCTACTACGCTCCTTTCCAATTCTCAAATATTTCAGAAACTTTCGGAATTCTTATGTTCAGGTGCTTTTTATGACATTTTTGACAACGAGATGGCATTCTTCTAGTGATCAGGAAGGGCCGGGCGATGTGGTAATAGGGCAGGGTAGGGTCCATAATTTTTAGCGAATACAGGGGAATGGCAAAAGCATGTCCGCATACGTTCCTATGAGATGGTGCGCCATGCCATGTCGGCGCACATTCGCTATTAAACATGAAAAACAACATAAAAATTCACAAAAAACCATTGCCGACTCTCATTATCAAATCCTACGCGATGCATGCAAAAGCAAAGACTTTCGACCATTTTTTGTTGTTTTTTTTATATGTCTCAATCTTCGTTATTGACATGTGAGCGTTGCACCGAAGTGCCATGATTTGGCTTCTCCAATACTGACCATAAAAGAGCATGCGAAAATGTACAGTCAAATCGTTTCATATGATCATGTATGTCACTGCCACACTGTCCGCCTTTGGCGTCTCCATCCTGGAATTGCGGTCGCAAAAACGTGAAGAACGACAATTGTTATCGCTTACATGACTTGTAAGGATTGGTACCTATAAATGAGAAAAAGCATAAAGAATGCATCGGAAACACTTAGCAGAAGGGCTGTTCGTTCCTAGAATCCAGGATGAGGACGCCGGAGGTGGACAGTGTGTGCAATGATATACATGATCATATGAAATGATTCGATTGTATCTAAAAAAATCACAGGAGTGAAAAAGCGCGGTTAGGCACAGAAAAAAAATTAAAGGAAAGTGGCCATTTCGAATGTGCTTACAAAATGTGATGAATTTGCTAGCTATTTGTGCGTTTGCAGCATGAGTTAAGCCGTCAGGCACGCCTGTCGTGCCCTACATATGGAGCAAACTCGAAGACTTAAGAAAGCTTACAAACTTTTTGAGAAATTTTCCGCAGAAATTACAATAGAAATCACACGCCGAACCTAGTAGTAGAATAAAGCAGTCATTAATCAAATGGTTATCTTTCTGCGTAGCAAAACAAAACCATCAAATCATGCCATAGCTCAATCTACATCCACTCAAGTAGTGGTAGTGATTTGTGTTTCTCCAATCACTGACCTTCGGATGAATTTAGACGTTTTATTCAGAACAGAGTCAGAATATGCACATTCCATCAGTAATTCTCTTTTCTATTATATTTAATTCACTGCAAATCTGTATGCACTTCCCGTACACTTTTCTACAAAGTGTTCATCGCACTCTTTCTGTTTGCTCTTCCCTTGACTTTTTCGAACGCGGAGGCGGCTATTCGTGTCTGTAATCCCTATTGTGAACAATATGTATGTAACCTCTGTGAATCATCCAGCCTCGTTGAAGCGGTCTATATCAGTCAACCAATGCTACATTGTCATATCAGTGCAATTTTTTCTTGAGCGCATATTTTTATCACAACAGTAAATGCCAGTTATATTTTAGACTATTATATTTTCCCTTCACGTGTCTCTCTGTCCATCATAGCATACAAATTACTGAGCAGTGTTGATACATTTTATCTGATTTAGACACATTAATACTTTACATGAGTTATCACTTAAAATGGATCCGTCCTTTGCTTGTAGAATTGATTTTTCGCAGAATATGCAGTGTTTTTTCAAATCTGTTTCCGTGTCCTCAAAAATTTAAAAACATTTTTCCAAACGCTTGGAAACAGTTGTTGTCATCGATGCTCAAAAATTCTCTGGCAACAAAACGGTAAGCTGATTCCTTGTTGAAAGCTGCTTTACAATGCTTTCAGAGGCAAAAGTTCTCAGAGAAGGTAATGTTATGTTATCACACGGTTCGGTCTTACACGTCGTCATATAAAAATCCGTTCTATGTCAATATGTTGCACTTCTCTACCTGCACACACACTTTATTGCCTATTTCAGTATTTACAATCTACGGAAAGCTCTCATAAGGATTGATACCAGGTCACGTTGAAGATAAAGGAGGTGTATAGAGTGGCTTCTCGGCAAACAGAACTGAAGCTAATCTTCTTATTCATAACTGGTTCTATAAAGAAAGCCTATACGAACGAAAAAACGCATTGTAGACTTCATATATCAAAGCACAGCAGGAAATGGTCAGATAACCCAGCCATACCAAACATGCTATATATCATCGGAATCGTCTTGAAACACTGATCACAAATATGTGTTTTTTATCTGCCAAGCGACCATCTGGGAGAAGTTATGAGCGTTTTAAAGTGCAAATTGTCAAGTGTTCTTTGGCGCATGTTCCACGAAATACGATTCAAAAACTTATTCAGGTTATTGGTGAATATGCTTCTTTCTTGTGATCAAAATAACGATAGCCACTGTAAATCCGCTCCATCAAGCTGCCTTCCAGGAAAATATATTTGCGGTCGAAAAATTTCTCATATTTGAACGCTCATAACTCCTTTCAGACAGTGCTTGGCGGATAAAAAAATGTACATTTGAAATCAGCGTTTCAAGACAAGTCCAATGATTTACAGATTGCTTGGAATGGGTGGGTTAAGTTTGAACATTTTCTTGTCAGTTTAAATCTCTTCTTGGAGCTCTCAATGCTCTTGTGTATTCTGACTGCGATAAACATCAGTTAACGTGAATCATCACCAAATATTTATCAACAAATTCAACCTTTTGAGTCCTCGTAGCCTCCACTCATCAAAAGCAATATATTTTTTGACTAATCGTGCACAAACGAAGTAAGGTGCATTGGAGCCATTAGCTACAAAGCATGATTTCGAGGAGTACTGGGCAAATTTCTCGCGTTTCTGTATTTTTTTCCAAAGATGGATATCCTCTCAAAGCGAGCTAGGGTTCACACAAATTCTCTTCGTGTTAATCCTGCTGAAATGTTTTCCCATTTGGTGATTGTATCCTTCCGTTTTGTTTTTGTGATTGTTTTATTTGATTCAGACCATTTAACATTTCTTTCCCAACCCATCAATAAGGCTGCACGTTCGTGGAACGAGAATCACTAATTTCATTGATTATTCATCAGTTTCGAGACGGACTTGAAATGACCTTGCCGAATCCGCTATTCAAAGATTTAGGCTCGCTAACGCTCTCCAGCAATAGCGATAATGATGGGACTAATGAAAAAACCCTCATCAAAGTTAATGGAGTGAATAACGCTAGATAATTTTTTATGGCTGGTTCCCGCTCTTGAACCGAAAGTTGACTATTTGTTTAGTCGTTATTTAGTGAGTCAAAAACGGAACTCAATTTTTTGCTGTGCATTATTTTCTATAAAACTGGTACAACAGGTTTACCCCTCATTGCCTTCTACACAAAGTGCTGATCTTGTTATAAATAGGCCTTCATGCCAATAATTTTCAAGACAATTGTTGGAAATTTTTACTGTATCATTCTCTTAATTTGACTTCTGCAAAATTGGATATACGCTAATGTTTGTGGAAACAGTTTTTTAAGATTGGTCGAAGGTTTGCTCCACAATGGTGTGCTAGAAAAACATGGGTTTTGCGAAGCACCACAGTAGAGTTTTGTAAGCAAATGACACCATTTTCAGCAGTAGTCTAAACACTTTCTTCTCATCAGCGTAATTTTTATGATTCTTTCCCAGCACTCAGTGTTCGCATCATAATGCTTCTTAGTATAAATTCAGAATTCACTTTCTTCATTACCTTTTTGTCAGATGACTCCGGTGCAGCTCTGCATCCTAGCGGCATTCTTTTGTTGTTGCTTTGCTTTGGAGTGCTTTACCGGATTCAAGTATATTAAAGGACAAAGCATAGGTAAATTCTTCAGCTATAATAAATATGATGAATCTCTGCTCTTAAGATTCAGTCATGAAATGTGCAAAACTCTCGTGTTCTTACTACTAGGTCCAACAGAAGGTAATGTTGCATTGATTTTGAAAAATACGTAGCTGCTCTCTATATGAACGCATCTGCTTGCAGAAAATTTATCATAAAAAATTCATTCATTTTTGACAACATCTTCATGGCTCTTCTATGACAAGGGGCAGAGATGAAAATTTGAACAGGAGAACCACTCCGACACCCGATCTTTGAAGATAAATTTTCAAACATCTGGAACGCTGCAGAAAAATATGGAAACGTGCCTCTCTATCTACTAAATGAGCTGCTTTTTGTAAAGCCGCTAATTTTGTACTAATCGAGCTTTTTTATGAAAAGTTGTGATTGATTTTTGTAAAGAACGCAGGAAACGGCAGAGACGATTCGTTTTGCATTATACTGCATTTTTCATGAAAATCATAACTTTTCATAGAAAAGCTTGATCAGCACAAACTTAGCAGTAAGGGACATGTTTTCAGATTTTTCTGCAGCATTCCATAATTTTGACAATCTATTTCCAAAAATGAGTAGTTGGGTGGTTCTCCTATTCAAATTCTTATCTTTGAGTTTCTTGTCATCAAAGAGGCATGAAGGTGTTATCGGGATGTAGATAAATTTTTCCTTTTGATGAAATTCTAAACATGAAATTCATTGTGAGTAGATACTTTCACATAGAGAGCAGTTACCTTTTTTAAAATGAATGCCACAATGTTTTCGTTCAACCTAATATTGTGCTTTGATAAAAGTTTTTCTTCAAACCAAAAGCTCTTGCACTTTTGACGGAATAATCAAGAGGTTGATCATCGATGAAGGATACGAATGCACAAATATTTTTGTTTCTTTTCTTAGCATTATGCCTCAGGGACGACTACGCAAACGTGTGAGTTCGAATGACTACTGCTTCAACATCTCCGCTGATCTCACTATGATAAATAAGATAAAATGGGCCGGATGCTCTACATACAGATGCCTTGTGAGCGAAATCGGTTTCCGCTGCAAGTCTACCCTAAAACACGCACTTCCAGTTGGCCCATAACAAGTGCATCCAAACGACATTTGAAGGCCATGATGTCAAGCTCTGTTGTTGTAACAATGAAGATCTGTGCAATTCAATGTTCACACCCAGTTTATATGTTCCTCTGCTTTTGTTGGCGACATATTGGAGTTTATGAGGTGAGCACATTTCCGAGTGATTGGTTCCCAGTTACCTTAGTCTCATTGTTCAGAACTACACCAGCTACGAAAAGGCAAGCAATCTCGCCAAAAACTTGCTTGATATCGGGTAAATGTTCAATATTAAGGCCTTGTGTTTTGTGCAATAAATGTCTACTTCTTTCTTTATTTTTATAAAGCAGTCAATCTCAGACAGCTTTGTACTCCCTAACCTGTGAAACAAGACGAAGTCTAGTTTTTTATGGTCAGACGATACCAGAAGTAATGATCACAAAGTCTGTTAATGAGTTTGCCGCTTAAAGCATGGATGGCCCTAGTATATGCAAATTAGGTAATACGAGCGATAAGGAGTTATATCCGCAAACCACATCTCATTTGTTCCTTATATTACAATACCGCTCACATTTTTTGAAAAAAAGACGCGAATGTATGGACATGTATGGACATGTCCATACATCAGCGTCGCGTGGCCATATCTCGCTTCAGAGTGGACGAATTCTGAATCCAAAGCCACCATTCGATTCAGCTCGGCGCGGAGAATCTTCTGATGTACTGGAGGTGGGGGTACGATGTCTTCGATATTCCGTTTCCAGTTTTTTCAATTTGTTCTGCGGAGGTCCTTTCGCGAATATGTGAAGCAACGCCTACCCAACATAGAGGACTTTACTAAGTACTATTCGATAATATTGTTCTTGTAGATTATTGTGCGCTAAAAAATAGGCTCAGACTTCTTTCCAAAGGAGGTAGAAGCGTTGGTGAGTTTTGGAAAAATTACGCGTCTTTAAATTCTACTGGCCATAACTTCTTTCGGAATAAGTATATTTTGAATCCGAAAACAGCGCCTTGCTCAGCTCATCAAGGCGAATCTTCTCATATGGCGGCGTGACAGGAGTTCCCAAAGCCTAGCCGTTTTTCCTCGTAAGAGTACTTGACACCTCCAGAAATTCCTTGAAGGAAATCACACCTTCTCAGGGTCAAAGGGCGGCTCCGCCCACCACTCCTCCCTCTAGCTGCCCGCGTGCTTCACTGGATATGAGGATGAGAGAACTTAAATTGAGAAACAAAAAAATCTAGGTTTCGATAGGTTTTAGATCCGTTAATAACTGCAGCTGAATCCCAGCATTTCGAATTATTTTTACTCATGTTTTCGATTAAAATGACGCTTCCTTGAAAACTTGTAATCGCGCTTAAGTAAGTTTGTGAGGCATATCGTATAAATATAAATGAAGCAGATAGTCTTCCAGTCACAGAATATAATATAACAGAGAACTAAGTCAATTTCAAAGCTCTAATCATCTAAGAATATAGCGAATTACCATAGATTGCAAATTTAGTGTCGTATTTGGAACTCTTAGCCAGCTCTTCGATTATGCGACGAAGGTGGTATTCTAGTACATCGGTAGGAAGTACTACACTTGAAAGTTTCTTTTCAATAATTTGGATCTTATTGATCATTAGGAGAATTTGCAAACTTATTCGGATGATGGCAGACAAAAGTAGAAAAGTATATGTGTTAAGATACCCTAACTGTTTGAGAAAGCATTCAGTTGCTTACTCGGAAACTTTGATACACTACTTTGAAAATAGGTCTTTTTAATGTTGAGAAGGTAATTGGGTTCTCAAACTCCTGATGCTAAATTACTTCAATCAGGTGACTAGAATGTACAATTGATCAACCAGATCCTCCAATATTTCGAATGACCGGGTTTTCTATCCAAAAAATTCCGTGCGATTTTTTTCTTCTGAAAATAATGTTTAAATGCTCCTTCTTAAAAGGATGGCATAGCAGAAGTTTCCAAGCCGCCTCACTTGGGAAATGACAACTATGTCCCTCGTTTTTCTCCATTTCTCTCTCATTAGCTTAATACCTGAATCTATGTTCTCGCTGCTTGCACACCTCACAATGAGATAGTAATTGGGTGGAGCCATGGGCGGGGCTTGACCTCTGAGTCACGGAGGTGCTAGAATCCTCCAGGGTGTGAATGCTGGTGCGAGGATGGTGCGAGGAAAGGTGCTAGGAACTCCCGCACGCCCTCCTTCTCGAATACAGCATGTCCTTGATATTTCGATTTCAGTATTCTTGAATCTTTCTGAGGACGTCTTTTCGCGAAGGTGTAATGCAGCGAGCATTGACCTGAGTACATTCCAGCAAGGATTTTTCGATAGCACTTTTTCTGTAGATTATGATGTGCTGAATCGTAGCCGCAGGTTTCTTTTCAAAGGAAATAGAACGGCTGGTGAATTGTGGAAAAATCTTGTCGTCCCAAATTCTACTTGCCATATCTGCAGGATACGAAGCTATCTTGCTAAGCAGATGTGAGTTTCGAAATCAGCAGGTCGCATAACCTCTAGAGCAAGTTTTCCGATATGTTCGGGTTATTCCATTTTTTCTCGTTTTACGCTCCGGAAGCTCGCCGATGGATTTTGGTCAAAATGTTGATGCTCTTGAATTGTAAGGAAACTTCGCTTATAGAGGTTTTCGAACACGCTCTGTACGAAAATCGTAGTCTTTGAGGATTACAGGGTCTTTTTGGAGAGATACGGTGAGGTAACTGTAACTGCTTCACGAAAGTCCGTAACTTTGGCCGCACTTCTCGCGTATCTGTCAGGAACCTTGCCTGCTTGCTTTTCTCAGTTAAAGTTACTAGGAATTGTACTATCGAAAGGTGCATTACTCAGGCTCCAGTCTGTGAAATTCGCCGAGTTACGAGCCTACGAAAACATGTCATCGTGAATTTTGCCCAAAAGCAAAGATCGCATATTTCGTCGAAATTTCTCCGTGAGCGCTTGTATGACGCTCGCTGCAGATATTATGTTCGCTTCGTCCAACCACTCCCACTGTATTGTATACTAGCTGACATACCCGGTCTTGCCCGGTTCATGAGCCACGGAGCCAGAGGAAGGAGGGGGAGCGCATAAAATATGTGTTCTGCTTCAAAACCTACGCATTTCCATCTTTCATACCCAGGGCTCGGCACGAGCTGGCACCAGGGAAATTTCAAAACGAAGTCCAGTCCCGTTTGATCTTGAACTCGTACGAAGTCCCCCTTGACCTATTTTGAAGACCCGTCATTGATTTTAAATTATGTAAAAGTACGTAGTAGGGTTTTATGCAAGCTAATTACATGAAACAACTTTTCACAGCTTTTTGAGCTTTTCATGTGGTTGAATCACATCTCGAGAAGCAGAAAAAGCCGACTTTTCCATTGCGGAGCAGACCGAGTAGTTTCCTGACAGATACGCGAGATGTGCGGCCAAAGTTACGGACTTTCGTGATGCAGTTACAGTCACCTCACCGTATCTCTCCAAAAAGATCCTGTAATCCTCAAAAACCACGATTTTCGTAAAGAGCGTGTTCGAAATTCTCTATAAGCGAAGTTTCCTTACAATTCAAGAGCATCAACATTTTGACCAAAATCCATCGGCGAGCTTTGATTTCGAAACTCACATCTGCTTAGCAAGATAGCTTCGTATCCTGCGGATATGGCGAGTAGAATGTGTAAAACGAGAAAAAATGGAATAACCCGAACATATCGGAAAACTTGCTCGTAGAGGTTATGCGACCTGCTGATTTCGAAACTCACATCTGCTTAGCAAGATAGCTTCGTATCCTGCGGATATGGCGAGTAGAATTTGGGACGACATTTTTCCACAATTCACCAGCCGTTCTATTTCCTTTGAAAAGAAACCTGCGGCTACTATTTAGCACATCATAATCTACAGAAAAAGTGCTATCGAAAAATCTTTGCTGGAATGTACTCAGGTCAATGCTCGCTGCATTACACCTTCGCGAAAAGACGTCCTCAGAAAAATTCAAGAATACTGAAATCGAAATATCAAGGACATTCTGTATATGTGAAGATTCGCTTTGATGAGCTGAGCAAGGCGCTGTTTTCGGATTCAAAATATACTTATTCCGAAGGAAGTTATGGCCAGTAGAATTTAAAGACGCGTAATTTTTCCAAAACTCACCAACGCTTCTATCTCCTTTGGAAAGAAGTCTGAGCCTATTTTTTAGCGCACAATAATCTACAAGAACAATATTATCGAATAGTACTTAGTAAAGTCCTCTATGTTGGGTAAGCGTTGCTTCACATATTCGCGAAAGGACCTCCGCAGAACAAATTGAAAAAACTGGAAACTTAATCGAAGACATCGTACCCCCACCTCCAGTAAATCAGAAGATTCTCCGCGCCGAGCTGAATCGAATGGTGGCTTTGGATTCAGAATTCGTCCACTCTGAAGCGAGATATGTCCACGCGACGCTGATGTATGGACATGTCCGTACATGTCCGTACATGTCCATACATTCGCGTCTTTTTTCAAAAAATGTGAGCAGTATTGTAGGTTGTACCGAAAGTTATGTCGTTTCATTTTTGAAAATTTGTAACTTTGCGCTGTTTCAACGGATTTGCTTGCCTGTAATTTTATTAGAAAGAATAAGTCTTTCTCTTTCAAATGCTGTTTTGCGGAGCTTCTGTTTCACATTGGGTGCGGAGATAAAAATGGAAAACTAAGACCATAAAAACTTTGACCATTTTAAGTTAGGTCACCAAAAATCTGGAATGCTGCAGAAAAATCTGAAATCGTCAGTACATATGTTTTTTGACCTACCCTTTGCATCTGTAAAAAATTTGTGCTGTTTGGACGTCTCCGTGAGAAGTTATGAATAACGAGTTTACTATGGAAAACGCTAAAATTAATTAATTTGTCAATTTTCGCGAAAAGCATAACTTCTCACAGAGACGTCCAAACAGCACAAACTCTTCACAGTTGCAAAGAGCAGGACAAAAAACATATGTACTGACGATTTCAGATTTTTCTGCAGCATTCCAGATTTTTGGTGACCTAACTTAAAATGGTCAAAGTTTACATGGTCTTAGTTTTCCATTTTTATCTCCGCACCCAATGTGAAACAGAAGCTCCGCAAAACAGCATTTGAAAGAGAAAGACTTATTCTTTCTAATAAAATTACAGGCAAGCAAATCCGTTCAAACAGCGCAAAGTTACAAATTTTCAAAAATGAAACGACAGAACTTTCGGTACAACCTAATAATTTTCCTGTTATTTACACGCTAAAGTGATTCTGGATAAATTATTACAAAGATATTTTCGTCAGTTGAGTTATTTCAAGATGATAAAGCAGATGGTGCGCATACAAGATTAGCCGACTCTGCATAGCGAAAAACGGTCTAAATAAAGTCGGCCAAGCATTTCTGTCTAGGTTTCAGCATGATTTCATCGAGATCTGAAATTCTAAAGGATGTATCAGTCCATTGCTCTGCAGATAACATTAATGGCTGGTAAAGAAGTGATTTGATTATTTTCTCATCAATTGCGGTTGCCAGACGCTTCCTCTGCGGTTATCTCTGCTCGAGTGCTCGAGGACAAGGGCAAAGTTCACAAACTTGTTCTTCGGTTTCGTCTCATATCTAAGCACTTCTCTTCTGACCAAATGCCCTATAGATCTCTACTGAAAGCCGCAAAAGAGTGGCTTTAGTAGAAGCCCAGTGGGGACGAAGAATGGATAAAGCGCCTTCACGCTTTGGCGACAAATTCGTGATGAGACCCTGCAATCAAACTGTATGCTATGTGCGATAAGCGTACTCCGAAGTCTTGGTATTTGATAGGAGCACCTTAGACAGCAGAAGACAAAAGAAGTTCAAGCACTTTTTCGGCTTCATAGACTGAATCGTGAAGATTCAATAATTCTTGGAAAAATTTCAAGCACAAAAAAAGATTGGCATACATTGTGGTTCGGCGACACATTTCTCAGAAAGTCCATCGCATCTTTGTATTACTGTATTAAGTTGTAAAAGAATTAATGCAGGTTTTTCACAACTTTTTTACAAAGTGTTGGTTCAAAACAAAATTCCATTGTCTTAGGAAAGTATGCATATCTTCCGAAAGCACTTTTCTCCTAGTTTCCTAAGCACGCTTTCGTTTCAGGAGAACTGGGTTCATTTCGAAATTGCGTGCTTTTGAAATCAAGAGACTAAACCTTGAAATTTTTTCCTTTTACACTCTTTGCTCTAAATCCATCGCGAAAAATCGATTTTTTTTCGCAAACTGGCATACTGTTTGTATGTGATCTGTGCTACAGAAGCGCACTGAAAGCAAATCTCTCAAGACTTTCCAGAGTGAGAAATTTTGTTTCAAACCCAAACAAGCGCTGCTATCATTCTGCGACGTATAAAAATCCTAAATACGAAGCAATCGCGGAGGTTTCACCGTACGCAAAAAGAATAGACATAGGACACATGATAGCAAAAAACCGGGTGTTGTTGTTCTCTTCGGCGGAGAGTAAATTCAAAAAAGCAAAAAAAGCATTCTTTCGTCTTTTGAGAGCACTTGTGAACAAATTTTGTGCAATATTTTCTAGCAAAATTTTTTTCGTCAAAATCAACTTTAATGCTGCTGCATATCCAACTATTATCTGCACAGTGTCTGAAGTTTTTAATATTCTACCACATTATATAGTGAGTTATGGTCTCTCAAATTGAAGGTTTTTCAAGAAAACTTTTGGCAGTCTTCCGGCTATGAATTTTTTCTCAGTAAAGCTACAACGGTAAGGTAATGCGTGTTGATTTGGCAGAAATTTGCTGATTGCAGTAATTTTTATTAAAAACGGATCGACTATTTCTGTAAGGAGTTATAGTAATCCAAACTTAAAATTAGGATTCGCGCTCAGTAGGTCCGAGTGGCTAGTGGATTTATCAAACATCAAAGAAAGAAAGAAAGAAAAAGACAGAATTAATGAGAGATTTTTCTCGTACATGTAGCTAATGCAGATAGATCTGGCGAAGAAAAATATTTTATTGAATTGAATGTACAATGCTTCATTAGTGGATAAGTTACCCGATATGGAGGATGTCTTTGATTCGTTGCTTCGTTTTCTCAAAGAAGGTGAGATTCTAAATAAACTGACCTTGAATTTACGAAGAGATATATTAGGTCATTCCGAAAGTAGTTTCGCTTTTTTCAAACGGACGCCACATGTGATGGAACAAAGAATTCTAGGAGATCTTGGTAGCATTCGGCAGAATTTCATCCTTTTTCCAACGGCTTTGAAATTATTGCAGCATAGTCAATGATCTTTTGGAAAATTACGAAAGTCTCCGATCCATACTTTTTGAGATGCTCAAGTTTCACAATTTTTCTAAATTTGTACATCAATTCTTCGAAGGAGTCCAAGTAATTCGATAGAGCAAACCCTACAGGATACAAAACCGTTTTTTTTTCTCCTTCACATAACTCCACAAAATTTTCTAATAAAATTTTGATTGATGCTATCAATTTCCATTCTTGGTGAACTCGAACATCGTAGAACATCAAAGGGTAAGCAGCTCGAGTGTCATTTGATGCAGCTTGTTCTCTCTTTTTAAGAGATGTTTTTTGTTTCTTCTTCGTGGAGTTTTTGCGGATAAAATCATCATATCATGTTTTCGAACGCGTTCCGGACTGTACCCGGAAAAATCGAAATTGGATATTTCGATCCCGTAAACTCTCATTCGCTTTATAAAGTTAGTGCTAAATCATAATAACATCTTGGAAGTTTCAAATTTCGAAGATTCATTGGTGTTTGATGCGAATGTGGCTGACGTAGGCCTGTCAAAATTCGATGGTTTTAATAATAATTCTTTCAAGAAATTATGGCGAGATGTAAAAACGAGAGAAAAGTTACGCTAAATCCTATGAGATTTGCTCAGTTGAATCGATAGTTGGACTCCTTCGGAAGGTTGATGCAGAAATTTAGGAAAATTGTGAAACTTGAGCATCTCAAAAAGTATGGATCGCAGACTTTCGTAATTTTTTGAAAGCTCATTGACTGTGCTGCAATAATTTTATGACCTTTTAAAAGGGGATGAAATGTTGCATCGAATGCTACCAAGATCTCTTAAAAATCTTTGTTTTATCTTATGTGGCGTCCGTTTTGAAAAAGCGAAATTACTTTCGGAATGACCCAATATTTGTAAAACTGCCTTTTGTTAGAAAATCCGAAAACATAGACTTATGCAGAGAAAACAAACTGACCGTGAGTTTTGAATTGCAAAGATCGCCCGTGTTACAGCAGCAAAACTTGAGTTTATGTCCTGACACGATTTGGCTGATGCACTTATTTCGACTCAGCTGCAAATGTGTTAATTTAGATTGAGCGGGTTCTGTATAGAAAGCGATGTGCTTTGTTGGCTTACAAAGCATCTCGTTGTTGAACAGCCGGCCATTGAGATCTCATTCAGTTGTGTAACGTCAGCTGTGGCATTGTAGCAGTAGTCGCTTGAACTCTTGCATGTTTCCTTAGACGACCCTAAGAGCTCAATGTTAGAAAAGCTTACTATACGTTTTTATGAAACCTAGAACATCAATCGGCGATTACGAGCGTCATTCGATGGATCTTTACCTCTTTTTTGTTTCTGGAGAACATTTCAAAACGCTTATTTCTAAACGCGCGGCAGTCTGTAACTCGGAAATCCGAAACATTTCGAAGCGGTTGACCTCATGTGCTCTCAAATAAAGTCAAAATCAACTTTGGGATTCTTCAGTTTTTAATCATTTTTTGGTGTTGGATGCGTCGTATATGACAGACTTCGCAAAATTGAAAATGTATGAAAAAATTATCTTGAGAAACACTAGAAAGCCAGCCAAAGATGCCTAAGGAGTTCGTCGTAATTCACGTTCACCCTTTTAAGGCTTGTTCGGAAGTCTAACAAAGTTTTGAGAGTTTGCTAAAGTTTGACATGTAAAGGTTATGAATTCGAAATTTCAGGGGATATTTTGTGACTTACTGTTACAGAGTAAGCACCACAAACACAACTGCTGGAAAGAGGAGAAAGGCTGTGTTGAAATTTTTATTGACGGACTTGTCTAACTTCATTTCATGTGCTTCTATGATAAGTTAGAGAATGGAAAGTACCTTCGGAACTATCTGACAAAAAACGGCTTTATCCAAGCTTATGATACTCGCTCTTCTGAGCTACTTCAATAGGATAGACACGAAAAGAGTTTGTACGAAACTGTGCACATAGATACATACAGCTGTTGAACTAAGCCTTTCTGCAGCCTTAAGCTTTAGCGTAGCTAAGTGATGATCTTGCAGTTTGTCTCCATATATGAAGCTTGATTGATAAGCTTGAACTTCGCAGCCTACATTCTAAACAAGGACGGATATCATGGACCACTTTTGTGCTATTGAGTAATTATTAAGTTTCTTTTATTGACTTGCTGGTTTTTCTCATTTTGAAGTGGGTAAAAAGCTCCTCTAATTCACTATCAAGCCATTTGTTTGGAACGTGAACGAGATCTGTCGAGCCAACTATTATTGTCACAAATGCGCTGACATATGAAGCAGTTCCGAGGCGTGTGTGTATGGGGGGGGGGGGGGAGGGAGTTGAGCGTAGCAGAGCTTGAAGCAGGAAAGGAGAGAAAAGAAGGAAAACTCATAGAAATATGGAAGAAAATAGGGACACCGCGTGGGCGAGCGGTAAAGGCAAGATCTATCCTTCACGCTGGCAATGTAGATGACGAGTTTCGAGCGTTTCACGCTAGCCCTGTGAGAGTTTTGAGTGTGGTGCCTTTTCAAGATGGTGTCGAGAGGTGTTATGATAAAGTCAAGTTTTAGCCTTCGTTTTAAAGTGAGTTCAGCAGTGACCCATAAATTAAAGTTTGGTTGAAAAATGTGGAAAAAAATTAATCTCTGAAAAACTCACCTACGCTTTGTCCCCTTATATATTTGAATCCTGTATAGCATTCCAGGGCAAAACAGCAACAGAAGAATGTTGCAAAGACTATGGATAACCGTATCGGAATCATCTTGGAAGACAGAACCTGAAATCAGATGAGAAACCATAGACTACAAAGGTTGATCGAAGCTGGAGCATTACGTTCTGAAAGCACATTTCTGAGATTTCCAGAACTTCAGGATATTTTAAAATTATCTGTTTGTAGCGCAATTTTCCATGACATCTCCGCTACCCAGGCACCACGAGTTTCTACATAGAACTCAATAAAATAAGCACGCCATCAAATAACAACAGTGGGGGACTGTAACCACGCGATGAGTATATACATACTTTTAGTGTTTTGAAACAACTGTTTCTCTCAAAGTTCGGAACTTAACTATAAATGAACGTTAAGCAGAAATGTGACTTAAGTACTGAAATCAGTAAGTGAATCAAATATTTGTTTAAAATCGTAGTACAATCAGCCATTTAACCTTGTTCAAAATGTTTGCGCTAGTTTCAGATTTGCTTATTTTCCTCATTCTTCTGTTGAAAAGTCCCGGCACGAAATGACCGCATTTATTAAACTCTTCAAACCAGTTTGGTGCTGTCATTTCATGCTTAAGAAGTTTTCAACAAAAAAAAATTGCCAGAGCAAGCAATAAATAGCTAAAAAATAAAAAATATAATGATTTAAAAAGAATTCTTTCGGAAAAAGTGGTTTTGATTTTGTCATAAATGCTCTTATTTGGTGTACATCATAGACTGATTGTGGCAGCAAATAGTATATGAAATGCAAACGTTTTAAAAAGTTAAAAAATGAAGATAAAACGAAAAAGCACCATAAGTCAAGCAAAAGAGCGCGGAATTGACTTGATGCAGCGGTATTGGCAATGTATTTGATGATGTATTTTCAAGAGAATCTGTTTCAGAATTGCCTGAATGTGATAATTTGACTGTGAGAAGCTATGACATGCTGCCTTTCCGTCAAAATAAATTCCGAAAGGATGAATTCTAAAATCAGAATTAAATATGCGGAGTCACGTTTCGATCTTATACATAGCTTGAGCGCAAACCGACTGATTGCAGGGAAAGTTCTCGTAAAAGAGATGACACAGCAGAGTAAATTATTTGCTCAAAAAATGGTTACACTACCGTGACAATTTCATCAGTTGACTAATATAGAAGACTCTAATGAAAGGTTAAGGCGATGAGTCACATACATAAGATATTAGTCACAGTGGTGAATATGATCATAAACGAAGGCCGCCTCCCACCTTTGAAAAAGCCAATGGAAAAGCAAACAGAATGCGTGCGGGTTGAATTAAGAATGCAGAAAATTCAGTTGAATCATCTTATTTCAAAATAGAAGAAGACTTTTGCTACAACGATTGTTAGATGCTAAATGCTTCTTACTAAAGGTTTTGCTATAGAGTGTTGCCGATTGATGTCAGTATGGTATGAACTGGTTTCTCGAGAGATGGTGATGTTCGTTTAACGACGACGGAAAATCGCATCATAGGTTAAAAGGTGACGAAGCGGATCCTTTTGATGTTTGAAAAATTGTTGTCAGCGGATGCCACTAAGTTAAAAAAAACTTTAAATAAATATACGATAAATATACGTTATGGGGTACAGAAGCGGTTCTTACAAGAAGAGCCCACTAAATGAACATAATAACAAAAAACTAATTTTCATTTTCAATCCTAGGTTTTACTTTTTCGATCTGAGAGTTATAGCAAAGTGGCACGAAGCTAGAGTGAAATATTAGGTGGGTGCAAAAGTTCGTTCGCCAGTTTTTCAAAAAATCGTAACTTCCTTCCAACTCAATGAATCTCTTTGATCTTATACTCATTTAGAAGAGAAAACTTTTCTCTTTACAGCTGTACCTTTGCCATGAATTGGCATGAGAAAGTTCGAAAGTTAAAAGAATTGAAGAAAAGTACTCAAGATTGACATTTTTCAAGCAGGATCTGAAAAATTCTGGAAATATTTTTATGTGATAGAGAAAATTATGCTCTTTACAATAGTGCCTTTCCCATGAGCTAAAACGAAAAAGATCGAGAGTTAGAAGCAAATAAAGGAAATTACTTCAGTTTTGCAGTTTTTGAGCATGCTCAAAAAAGCCTAAAAACATCACAGGAAGGGCGGAAAAGTCATAAACGTGGGTTTTGTAACCTTTTCTTTCTAGCTAAGTGAGTTTCGAGCTGATCGAGAGCGATTTTGATTTTCGTAATTTTTTCGGATTTTCGGGTGTGCGTTTTTCACGAAAAACAAAATTGCTCGCGATTAGCACGAAACTCACTCAGCTAGAAAGAGAAGGTTACAAAACCCATGTTTATGACTTTTCCGCCCTTTCTGTGATGTTTTTAGGCTTTTTTGAGCATGCTCAAAAATTGCAAAACTGGAGTAATTTCCTTTATTTCTTCTCACTCTCGATCTTTCCGTTTTAGTTCGTGTGAAAGGCACTATTGTGAAGAGCATAATTTTCTCTATCATACAAAAATACTTCCAGAATTTTTCGAGACCCTGCTTGAAAAATGCCAACCCTGAGTACTTTTCTTCAATTGCTTTTAACTTTCGAACTTTCTCATGCCAATTCATGGCAAAGGTACAGCTGTAAAGAGAAAGGTTTTCTCTTCTAAACGAGTATAAGATCAAAGAGATTCATTGAGTTGAAAGGAAGTTACGATTTTTTGAAAAACTGGCGAACGAACTTTTGCACTCATCTAATATATTTATAGCATTTAGAGCCACTTGATAATGCGAAGTTGTCACTGAACTCATGCACATTGTTCCTGGATTTTTTTCGAAGGATATTGAGCACAAAAGTAGACAATGCAATTCATTAACGCAAAAAGTGGGGCAGTACTGTTTCCTTTGTAAGGAAACAGTGATTATCTTGAAAAAAAAGTGCTACAGTTTTTGGAAAAAGAAAAGCGAAAAACAAGAAAGAGACATAAAAGTGGAAATTACTTAGTATAAAACAGCAATCCTAAACTTCAAAGAAAGGAAGAGTCCTTTGAATGTTTGATTTGTTTTTCTGCGGCCTCCTAATAGGCCATGAACCGTGTATTCAGAATAAAAAAAAGTTTGTGAACAGAGTAAATGACATGGACAGTTGGGCGAGTTTAACGACACTAATCTGTGGTTCCAAAAAATGAAGTGTGTACAAGCAGTCATCTGAGTGTTGGGAGATACTTCGGGAGCTGTTTGCATATGGGATCAGAGGCGGGACGTCGTTCTAGTGCGAACTGTCGCAGTATGATGAGCGATGTGTTGTCGCAAATGTCACTTTTGTGACCTCCATTTCGTCATTTGTAAGATGGAATATCCAGTAGACAGACGGCAGGTGTGAGAATGTAGATTTTAATGATTAGAACATAAGCTTTGCACCTAAATAAATACAGAGTTCTTTTATATCTTATGTAGATTGCAATGTACCTTTTTACAAAGCTAGCTCTCTACAAAATAGTGCTCAAAGGTTTGCACCGATTTTGATCCACAAAAGTCTGGAGCTAGAATTTAGAAAATTAATGGCCCCGCAATCCAGGAAAGTTTTTCAGATGATCGCATCTCTGTTTTAAACAATCCTAAAAACCTTATTTGTTCACGCTTTTAGATCCATATCAGACATTTACGTATGCATTTGCTGTAGTTTCTCTTGGTTCAACCCATTGACGACGATGTGGACCACCGGTGGCCCACACCCCTTGCAAAATCATGTCCTTTCCAGGCCTAGTATCTTCTCCACAGTTCATTAATTTCTCTAATTTTTTGCACTCTCGGAACCCGTAGACTCCATCGTCTAAGAAGATGATTGTACTGGATAACAAACAACCTTACATTTCGTAAATACTCAGAAATCTTTCATGCGCCGAAAATGTTGTGCAAAACTGCGTCGTCCCACAGCGCCGCCACGCAAACTTAGGCGTCGCCGTCAATGGGTCAAAGTAGAAAAAACGAGAACTAGCATGCAATCGTCAAAAAACTGCTGAGCTGCTTTTACCTTCGAAAGTACTTCACGGAAAATTTTGAGTTTAGTTTCCCTTATTCAGATTCTCATGCCAAAAATCCATATTTCTTGTAAGCCAGCTTTTGAAAGAAGCTGGAGAAAATTACGGTTTTACTTCCAAAGAACTTTTGAGGGGAGTTGCAATTTCTTATTTTTTTTCGATTTTTTGCCCATGTATTTTTTTTGGCTTCAAACTTCGTGTGAATGAAAGTTTGTGCAAATCTTTGAACACTGCATTGTAGAGCTAACTTTGCTCTATCGAATAACATTTCATGACTCATCTAGATTATAGGAGAAATATAATGTGCCTTACTGTTACTGGTGCTCACATAATTTCATATTTTTACTTATGTTACACCAATCACACGCGGATAATTCTCCAATTTTTAAAAGTAGGAAAACAACACTGAAAAGAAGGTCCGATTAGTCGAAGTGACCTTTCCAAATGAGTCCTATACCACTTTGAAAAGCATCAAACGGTGATTCCAAATCTGATTTTATTCTGCCGTGCGCCTCTGCACGCCGAGTTATGAACATTTTCCTGTTGCAAAGAATAAACGCATAATTTAGGTATAATCAAATTTCACGTTCTTTACACTACTTAAGTAGGGGAATGTTAATGAATGTTTTAAATAGAAGGTATTGTTCAAATGAGGTGCTCCGATAATCAACATTGGACCATTTGAACAATTCTGACGAAATTTGTAATTATGCGTTCAATTTTGCAACCTAAAATACGCTCATAACTCGACGTCCAGAGGCGATTGGCAGATAACGAAGACAGATTTGCAGCGTTCGAAGCTCTCTATAGCCGTATCAATTCCATATGAAAAGCCACTTCGAGTAAACGGATCTCTCTTGTGAGCAATTTGGCTTTTTCAAGCGGTAAAGTATAAGGCAAAATGAAGAACCGTAACCTTTACAATAAAACTTATTCCAATGAACATCAGTTCAAATGAACGTTGTCTTGTATAAGCCGTAATGCTGGTTTCTGCAATTGCTTCCTTTTAGAGTAGTTATGTGCTCCAATTCAGAACGAGGGGTTCGAACAATCACGATATGACTTTGCCGCTATGAATTAAGATAAAATAATGCCGGGACCCTTGTGATGTGCATTCAAAGTACCATTTTTGAGAATCTGCTCGTTGAGCTTCACATGCTATCTGAAAGATCTTTTCACGCTTTGTGGAGAATCAGGGCCCGGCGGGGGTGGCGCTTTCACAAGCTGGATATCGTTTTTGGCCCGAAAAAGCAAAGGGTAAGTCGTATTTTGGGGCCGATAAACAATGCACATATCATTCTTTATTCATCATTCCTTGTTGATGCTACTGTCCTATGAACTTAGAGTCCAGCAATGTGAAGATTCTGTGCTCCGATCGCTAGCCTGCCTGCAGGCGGGAATTCAAATCGCAATTCTTGTAAGAGGAAAATAACAAAATAGGCTCGTTTTCAATGCACAAGTAACGATATGGCACCAAATTTGCTGTATAGTTGGAGGATCATGAGCACAAAAAAAGTATGAAGAATTATGAGAAACTTATGTGAATTTAAAAAATGGTAAGTATTTTTCGAAAATAGGTGGCTCCCGCGCCACCTGGGAGCCACCTGGGGTGGCTCCCTGCTTCCCTTCACATAATTTCCCGGATTTCTTTACATAAATGTGGACTAGGTCGAGAGTATTACTATGTGTTCAAATCCGCTTCCAAAACCACCAAGACACCGCTTCGATACACCCCCAAATAGGGTTCACAGCGTTATGATCGGCCTCGGAAAGCGCGCTCCAATCGCAATCGGTTATTGTAAATTGTAAAGTTTCGCAGCTGACTAATA